ACAGCCGCGGTCTTAGGGGCGAGGAGCAAGGCAGCAGCGCGTTTCTCCCTGCGCTGCTGCTGCCGTCGCTGCCGCTGCGCCTTCTTGCGGCGCTTCCGGCCCTCCCTGGCGACTCTCCTCGCCTCGCCGGCGATTTGCCACCCGCCGCCGTCCTCCGCTCGCGGGGCGGGTTCCACCACCGCTGCCGCAACTCCAGCCTGCCGGGCTGGAGTGCCTCTCCTCTTTTTGCGCCCCGCGGGCGCAGGCGCCGTCGGCGCAGCCGGGGTCTGCACAGGCGGGGGCGCCGAGGGCCTCGCGGGAGGAGGCGCTCGCGCCTTTGCCGGCGGTTGGGGACCGCGGACAGCCTGACCAGCGGAGGTCGAGGGCTTGGCCGTGTTGCAAGCATGGGGTGTTGCAAGCAATCAAAAAGTCGTTCATCGAAGCAGGTTGTGGTACTTTGAACTCAGTTGAAATAAACTGAATTGAAACATTTTGTACATAATTTTCCGATAATATTTACTAGATGAGAAATTCTATCTGCTCTGTTCAACGTGGAACTTCATTGAATTCCTGATGATGCCACCAGCCTTCAACCCAGCCACATGACGACATTCATAATATTTAGCATTACCTACTTAATCAATTTGTCACCCGCTATTTTTATTATTTCTATGCTTGGTAAAAGGAAACAGTAAGAAGTAATTACCTAACTAAAAAAAAACTGCCATTTTTACTTTTGTTTTTTTTAAACATTGCCCTACTTTTTTTTTAAGGGGAATATCATCGTATCACATCTCCCGCCTGGGTGAGGCGGGAGGGATTGCCCTACACATTAGGATTAGGTTTTGTGGGTGCATTTACAAACATTTAATTTGACATACACATTACACCATGAGTTATTAAAAGTAATAAAAAAAAATCAATAATACACTGGCTTTAATAGAACTCAGAGATCCTCAACATGAGGCAAGTTACTTATACCCGATCGCAACGTGTTCAATAAGTAAGTAGGTAGGACTTTTTACAAAGCAAAGACTCTTCATAACCCCAGGGCGATTTCAATTAAAACCTTTTCAATCTCACTCTTTTATGTCCCGGTAAACTTGTGAGCATTTTCCTCAGTTCTATAATCGAAGACTGTTTGTCCACTTATATTCCACTTAAAGTTTTTCATCCAGCCTTTCAAGGGTTAGTCGGGGTCTACTTTACTTAATTCTCTCGTCAATCTCTTATAAACAAAGGAAATTGTTATTTAAGTCACTTGCATGAATATAGATAGGTCGCCCTTTTAGGCTGGATAAAGAAGGTGAGCTCACTTTGTCCCATTTTACTATTGTTATGTTATGTTAGACTAATGCCGGAATACTGAAACGTTACTCAATTTTAAGTCGTGCTTAAATATCGTGCCATCTCTGTCATTTTACAAAGAATTTGTGGAGACAGAACTATACTTAAGCGCGACTTAAAATTGAGTAGCGTTTGAGTATTCCGACATAAGTGAGCAAAATAAGATTGCGGATATTTTTATACTAATTCGATATACTTATTGTTACACTGCTTGCATGGTCGGCGTAGTAGCTGGGCAACTGTTTGCTGTGTAACGTGTAAAGGACTCTTTGTGTAATCCACAAATTGTTGTTCCAGGATAGCTACCTGTGAATTGTCATCTAAGAGACTATGTTTTGTAAAATACTTTTATTTTCTACCAATATCGAATATGCTGTCACTACGCTTACTTATTACCTAGGTACGTAAAATACTCATCAATAGCACTTGAATTCATGAAAAAAAAAGTTTTTTCTAAACTAGTCTACTGTTAGTAGGTATGTTGATGTGCAGTTTACCTCAGGAAATATCCCGGCGACTGACAATAAACGGGGAACGAATTTGCATTCAACTTCAATATTGGCGTGCGGAGACCAGAGACAATTTTTTTTTCTTATTTTTGTTAAACCTCTCTTCAAAAAACCTTAAAGCATTTTATTCACTCAATGTTTTAATATCTTTCTAGAAAGGTGGGAATTACGAATAGAATATAGGTAAAGTTAACTATCTGCTTTCTATTGTTTATACTTCGTCTCTCTGAGGATATCGTTCTTTGCTTGTCGTGTTTAGGTACCTAGTTAAACGGATTGTCTGACGTAATATTATTTCAATGGTAGTTATGTTATATACTGATGACTATGGTTATGTTATATATGTTATG